TGCTTTTTGTAAGCTTTTAGAATTTTATATACTGGTGAAAAAATAAGGAAAAAACGAGACAAAGAGGCAGATATGAACAAAACTTAGAAGAAAATATATGTAGGAAATCTTTCCACCTTGTAACATTTCATCTGCCAGATGCTTTAAAATTAATACAGGACATTTTGTATGAATGTTCCTTTATTACAAAATTGACACAATGACCTATTGCAAATTGTAAATTTGACGTTACTTAATTATTGTTGAATGTGCCATTTTTGCACATGTTAATTGGATTCAATACCTATTGTGTAAAAAAAAGGTTGCACGAAGACTGCACAGATTGTGGAGATTATTGCAGTCTTTGTGGTAAAAAGTCCAAAACTCCAAAATTTGTAGTTATTTAAAGTTGACACTTCTGCTTTGTTTGGTTTTTATTTTAAATTTTGCCATATACTTTTAAAATATTAAAATAGTGCCATTCTAAGACAATGTCTATGGTGCCATGATGGCACTGCCATCCCTATTTAAAATTCAAATATTTCCTACTCACTATGGTGGCACCAAACAGTTTAAAATCTCATATAAAACTAAAAATACCAAACAAAGATTTGTACCGGCTGTAGGCATAAAAACAAAAATTTATATTAAGTCAAGTGTGGTATAAAAAACGATGATTTACAAAAAAATAATATATATTGTGCGACTAGTGGGAGAACGAGGAAATTCCTTGAGCGTGGGGAAACACGCGAGTGGAATGTCCTCGTCCCAATAGTTAAATAAGTTAAATAAGTGAGGTTATGTATTTGTCAGTTTAAGGTTAATTTCTTGTTATTTTCTCAAAATAATACAATATATCTTCACCCCAGAGTCAGTCCACTTTTTTTAAATCACGTTACATATTTTTTGCCTATATTTGTCTGCCCTTTCCAATGGTAACCAGAATTAAGTGCTGGCTTACTTAGTTTTTTGATATATCAAAAACTAAGAAATTTAAAAAAAGGGGGGGAAAATACTGATAAATATTTTTTGTATTATAAATTAGGACAATTTACACAATTAAAATTTATAGTCAAAAATTAAATTTGCTTTAATTTTTTAAAATAAAGAACAATTTTATTATTATTTTTGAAACTTTATCACTAAAAAAATCGTTTATTTTATAACCGTTTGTCAATGAAGTAAGATTCAACCAACTTCTTAGGTTTTTTGTCAAAAGTTCGAGATTAGATATTTAATATTAATAATATTTAATATTTTCAATATTTAAATATTTAAATCACAAAAAAATCATTTAGAATTTTTTTATAATTTGGGGCCTTTTTTCGTTTTTTAATTTCAAAATGTCCGTACAAGATTTTTCCAAGAAAGTTGTAACGGAATCGGACCATTGACAAACGGTTGTAAAATCAATTTTTATAGTCCTAAAATTTAAAAAAAATAAAACTTCATGTAATTTAACATTAAACAAAACAATATATTTTAGGCAAATTTAATTTTTGACTAAAAATTAAATTTGGGGTAAAATGAGTGTAATACAATATATGGGTATATTGTATTACACTCAGCAAAAAAGACGAAATATTTTATGGTTTCTTATTGACTTTTAGATTTTTTTGAATGTTACTTTTTTTAAATACAGAATATTTAACATTTTTATATTGGTTTTAAATTTTTGATGGCTTTAATTTTCACATTTCAAATATTTATTTAAATGTCTTACTCCCATGCGATGAGTATTTTCTTTAAACTTACTTACTTATAGTGTCAACATAAACATGACCTAAGTACATTAACCCATCCTTTACATCCTTTAGCCTGGTAAATATTTACTTCAATTTGGCCAATAAAACGTCCATTTTCTTTCTTTAGCTAAGAAATTAGTTGCTATAGGAAAAAACATTTAAAAAACCTCTGCAATATTGCAATATGCAATAATGAAGAAAATGTCAGCAATGTGTCAGTAAATGTCTTTTTTTATTAAAAATATTAGTAATAATTGTAAACTCATTCTTTAAATTTAAAATACATAAGTTTTTACAAAAGTTACGTTAAGAAGCAATTATTAGCACAAAAAAACCTAACTTGATAAAGTATTCTGGGTGTCAGATTTGAAATCAGAGGATTAATAGTATATATTCGCGGCCAAATCTGTATGGGTGAACGTCATTAATACGATATAATGTCAGCATTACCAACTTTGAATTGTAAAGTCACTGCCGTTAAATGTGCTTTCTTAAGGTGTAATTCTGATATGTTATAAAAAAATACTTTTCATTTGCTTATTGTTTACCAAGAACTGTAACAATTTTAACACGTTTTTTACGAAATTATGAAACTAAAACCATTCTCTTAGTAATTTTTGTGTGTGCCAGTTGGTAATAGCTTAAGGCTGGCGCGCACCGTTCAATATTATTGATGGGTCGCCGTTATTTTTTATATTACTTTTTTTTGTAATTTTAACATTTCGTCCGGAAGAATGGTTTGTTGTAGATTATTATAAATAATTTTATTGTTGGTAACAGTTATTAGATTGCAAAGACATTGCGCCCTTAATAATAAATTTGAGGAAATAATCAGACTCCAAGTCTGACCTGGTTCGATCTGACGACAAAGACGACTGTTAATTTGGTATTGTTGTGTTTCTCTAAAAATTTGCCCGTAACAAACTCCTAATTAGTTAGTGTAAAAGATTATAACAATGATGTTGTAATTTTATCTTTATAAACAGCCCCCAGCGCCATAAACAGTCAAAAATACACGAGCGTTAGATTGTTTCTGGGCACGTATGAATAGACCTTAACGCTGACGTCATATGCCGTTGATGACGTGCACCCATACAGATTTGGCCGCGACTATATTATGTATAAAGTTTAATAAAGGCCATTTTAGTCACGAATTTAAATTAGGCACGAGCGAGCTTGCGAGTGAACAATTAATTAAATGAGTAGGTACCTAGAAATGTTTATAAACGAGTTGCATACTATGTCTATACTTTTTCTACGACAAATACTAAAAATGATTTAAATTAAATATTTGTATAGAGCGACATCTATACAAAAATAGAGTAATCGTAAGAATGGGATTCTGTAATACCGGCGGCAAATGTCAAATTTTTCTGTGTAAATTATCCCTTAAAATGTGGAAATTGATAAAACCTGCGGCAGGTTACCTGCCTACTAAATTGCACAAATTAGGACTTGTTTTTTCACCACCAGCGGCGCTGATTGTCGATGCTTACTGACGTTTTAGTAGCATTCCGGTACAAATCAAACATATTTGACAACTCTGAACTAACTTAAAGCTAACTTCCGCCCTTAACTAAAGCGCCATAAAGCCATAGCTGGTCAATGTGTATATTAGGGTGCTTCAAAAAATAAAATTTAATTTTTTTTTTCGCTCTTACCCTCTCAAATGTTTCTATTTAATATAAAAAAATCCTTACCAAATATGGGCGTTCCAGCTCAGTTTAGTTTCCCATTTAATTAACGTGGCAAAATAATTTTATGTTTGTAATTTTATACCTCTGTATCAAAGTAACTTATGGTAATGAGCATTGCAGTTTCTTATTATATTATAAAATGTAACAAAACAGGTCTCTTATTATTTTTTGATAAATTGTACCAATTTTGGAAAACTTTTTATATGCTCATTTTTTGGGTACCCCATTTTGCCCCCCCACCGCTGCCTTTTTTGCCCCCTTTCACCTCCCGTCTGCTACTTGTACCATAAAATTTAAAAAACCCAGAAAATTTGATGTTAATCAAACTCTGATCTCGAATAACCCTAGAAGAAATCAATTTATCGAAAAATAATAGGAGAGCTTTTTTGTAGAGCGTTACATTTTATGTAAGAAACTGCAATGATCATTGCCATAAGTTACTTTTTTACAGAGGTATAAAATTCCAAACATAAAATTATTTTTTTCCATGTTTATTAAACGGGAAACTAAAATAAAAACAGCGACCTCTTAGAGTTGAGCTGGAACGCCCATATTTGGTAAGGATTTTTTTATATTAAATAGAAACATTTGAGAGGGTAAGAGCAAAAAAAAAATATTTTTTGAAGCACCCTAGTGTACAGTTGTATTCAATAAAAAAGCGTACAAGAATTAGAATGAGATAAAACTGTCAAAACAATATTATTGCTTAAAACCGGCTTATCACTGACATAAGTCATTAAAATAATTACTATAGGTTATAAAGAGCATTGACGTCGTAGGTCAATTAAATAATATTACAAAAATTATTACCTTTTAGAACTGAAAAAAAACAAACATTAAAAAAAATTTAATATTTAGTCATGCATCCGTGTTTTTTTATTACTTGAGCCAATCTATTTGGGATGAACTGAATTAAATTTAATACAATATTTGGATTAATGTCTTCCCAGCAGTATAGTAGGTATAGTATAGTTGTATAGTTTCCCAGAAATCCTCAGATATCCCAAAAAAGCAGCATCCTGTTCAGGGGTGGACATTTTGGGACGACCTGAACCAACTTTTTGGTTTAGTAAATCTTCCTTTTCCCAGCGTTGCTTAATTTTTTAAATAGATTTTTTATTTCTATTATACCACGGTACGAATTGACCATTCTTCTTCGATTCTTGATACTATTTAAGCCTTTTTAACTGACGAGGCATTTTTATTTTCTACTGTCAGTTATAGTGACTTAAGTCAGTGGAAAGCCGGTTTTACGCAATAATGTTGACAGTTTTCTCTCATTCTAATTCTTGTACGCTTTTCTAATGAATACAACTGTACCTATACTATAAAAGATCACTTAGTGTCATGGAAACATGATCTATAATGGGCGTTTTATAGGTAGGAGTAGAAAAATCATTTAAACATCCCACAAGTTCGATTTTGTCGTAGTGTGTATTTTTGGTGAAAGTGTATTTATTTACTAATGACGTTTGTTTTTTGCAGGTTGGCCGCAGCGCAGGAAGCGGCGGCTCAGGCGGCACAGCAGCAGCGACAGCGTGGGCAGCTCGAGGAGGCGGGCGGAGGAGCAGCTGATAGAATGGGGGGCGCTAGCGCGGCTGGAGGACACGGCCCGTCCTCCCTCTTCCTCTTCTCGGAGGAGAACCTCATCCGTAGATACACGCGCTTCATCATCGAGTGGCCATATCCTTTTCTAAATGACTTAATTATTTTATTTATAAACTGAGCTTTTAAACTTAATTTACAATTTTGTCATGGAGCGTTGCATGGATTTTAACCATTAAAGGGACAAGTAAATAAATGGTTACATTTTTAATAATAATGGACAACAAATATTTTAATTGGAATAACACATTTATTTTTATTATTGTCTGTTCTTATAATAAGAAGTAATTTCTTAAAAAGCCTTATTGTGAATAGAAAACGTTATCGGTCGATCTTGACCAAATATTTTTTTACAAAATTTAATAATATTACTCTGGAGTAAAGGGTCTGGGCGACGTTTATTTTAAGTTAATGAGAATACCTACTGAGCAAAAAACATTACTGCAATGTTAACGCAAAGTTGCTTTGTAATCTGTAATGTTGCATAAGACCGTTATGCAATGTTGGTGCAATATTGATTTCTTTCAATAACATTGCAAGGTACCAATATTGCATAAATATTGTTAATGCAATGTTTTATTAATATTCAACTGAGATGTTGCCGTCGAAAAGTACTTGAACGGTTGAATGGTAATATTGCTAAATGGAGCTAAAGCTCAAGTCATTCAGAGACCTCATGTAGGCAATATAAATTCATATAATTTTAAGAAAATATAAATATAAAATTTTATTGTTTTTTGGTCAATTTTCAATACAAAAATTTAAATTTCACGGCGCCTAATACCCCGGTTGTCCAGGCCTGCTGGATGTAAAAATTAACTTGTTATCACTTTGGGGCTACACCACTTTAATTTCTTTCTTCATCCTATATATAGAAATACAGGTTATTTGGACACACAAAAAATGAGGTAGAGAAAATTTACTCGTAATTATTATTTGTAACTATTTTAAGTTAAAGTTAAATGTTTTAGTATGACAACTGGTTGATATTCTAATTTTTAATTATATTAAAATTAAGACCAATTTTGATAGACCGAAGATATGATATACGAATTTAAAAAATAACAATCAAATGATAGATAATTTCATACGCATTGAGAAAATGTAAATATCTTAATTTGTTGCGAAAACGGTATTTTATACCAGGAATAAGTATGTGACACACACAACATTACATCAATATCTCTTTTTGAAACTGTTCAAGGAATGTTGCTTCTTCAATGATCTAGCAATGTTCCAGAAATAATATCCGATGAGTAAACTACTTTAAAATCTTAGAGACCAACGTTCAACGTTATGTTGATGTGTGTTGTGATTTTTTCCTTATCAGTCATTAGGTATCAATAAGGAAAACTGCTTATCAATAAGAAATTTCTCTTAGCGACGCGTTGCGCATGACTACCCTTGTTATCCTTAAGCCGTTAATTCGTAAGCGATTTTTAATTTAAAAAAATCAGTGGTTTACCTCTCAATAATATCACATTACATCAACATTGGTTTTTAAATTTGTTTAAGTATGGCTGCACAGCAATATTGCTTTAATAACAATGCTGCAATATTTCGAAGGTGGTATCGCAGTAATTGTGCGGGAATATTTAATTTTAAATATTAGCAAAATAATTTTTTTTTAAACCTGTTGATCATAATCTTGCAGCAATATTGCTATGATAATATTATCTCAATGTTTGACTTGTAGTACTGGTACCACATTATTCACAGGAATGTTTATATCCTTGCCCAAATATTACATTTTAACATTTTAAAACCCTTACAGAATCAATATTGCCCTAAACTTGTGTAATGTTGCATGTTTAGTTGGCATTACAATGGACTTATTGCCCTAAAGGTTCAAAATAGTACACTGTTCAAAATTTCATGACCATTTTAACACCAAATTAACACCATACATGGTCCATATCGATACAAACCAAAATGGTGTTAAATATGGTTCGTTGGTCCGTTGTAAATTCAAATACTAAAATAGTGTAAATTTAACATTCACACTGTATTAAAATAAATTGAACTCCTTTTCAGTGTTAAATATTATGTGTTTTTGGTCAAATTAAATCAAACTACACAGAAAAAAAGGATAAAAAAGGAAACAGGAAGTTCCTTGACGCATTACTAGTATATTACCAGCGGTATTATTCCAGAAAATTGAACCTTTAACTCGCTAGAGATAATGTTTTTAGTGCGTTCCACCAACTTAAAATACTTCAAGTATTGACAGCTGTTTCCACCTATTTAAGGTCTCTTTAGTATCGAACAACTTGTAGTGTCACACCAAAGTAAAGGACTACCTGAGCTTATATACTCTTCATGTCAACAGAGGCGAGATTTAAGAACATCACGTGATCCACACCGCCTTTGCCGCGATCGGTACACACTATGTAACCGGGAATGCACGGCAAATTGTTTTAATCGTTTTAACAGAGTGCTTTAGGTTGAAGTAACTCTTATTTTACAAACAACATATTTAGTAAACTGAACCATACAGCGGATTGGTTTCACTAGAGGTTTCTGGGTTCATTTAACCAATTTAAAAAAAATAAAATATCTATCTGGTTTAGTACCGTCAAACAAACCCTCCCACAGTTGAAAAAATAAAAAAATACAAAAATAAATACTTATGGATCAACTAAATTAATATAGTTCATTTAACTATATTAATTTAGTATTCCTTTTTTTCTGTGTAGGTGCACTTCTCAAATATTTTTAGATAAACACCGTTTTGGTGTTTGCTGTATATAACATTTTAACCATAATTCATGGTGTTTATATTAACACTACTTGGTGTTGGATTTTGACATCATTTTAAGGTTACTTTTTACACCACAGATATTTTAAACAGTGTATCAATAGAAACCAATGGATATCTTACAGTTTAATTTATAATTTTTATCCTAAAATGTTATCATTTTCCATCATAAATTATGATTAAAAAAATGTTTTGAAGGATTCAACTAAACTTAAATGAATATTTAAATAAATATTTAAACTATAGTTTTACTAAAATCAATAGTATATAGTGAAATAAAGGGTTTAGGCTATAGACTAAAAAACTATTAAGAAACTTAGATATCCTCCTCAATAAAAGGTTTTTGTTGCTTAGTTAATATAATTTATAAACAATATCCCACTAAACATGTTGCAACGATCCAAATTCGAGGGATATCGTTTGCATATGTAATTATTATTTTAAATCAATAACCAATATTATCAAAGTTAACAATATTGTTAATTTAATTGCTATTTATAGGTGTATAAAGAAGCACCTTAACGATAAAAAATAGATAAATAAACCTAAAAATAATGCTTATTTTTTAGTTCATACGTTTTTTACTAAAAAAGAATTTCCCTTAATATTGATTTACATGCCAGGTTTACTTGAAATCAAGTTCAAAAGCACTTAGCCCACATTTAAGGGCATTAGTGATTATTCAGCAAAGTTAATTAAAAGATTAAATTTCGCAGACGGATGCATTAGTCGCTCAGATTTTTAAAAACGAAATTACCACAAAAAATATTAATTTAGTCCAAACCTAAAAATTAGAATAAATGTTGTACCTACATTTTGCAATGCAAACTAATTGACGATAGAAACATGGTTTGTTGGTAAAAATTAAATGGCTATTGATTTTATACTTTTTTACCTCTTTAGACATGGAATTTAACTAACATTATATTGAATCAATTTTGTTTATGTGTGCGGGAAAATTTTAACGCTATTTTTAATGTTATTAATTATTTACTTTAATGTTTCTTGAACCATTACTATGCCAGAATAAAAAAACCTTTATAGTTATTTAAATTTGATAATTTAAATAAAGTAAATATAAATTAAAAAGATTTTATTTGACTAAAAGATAGGTACGATTTTAATTATTGTATTCTACTGACACCATTACGATTGTAGCCTAATTTGTAAAAACGTATAAAAAATGCAATTTTGTTTTTTTTTTATTGGAAATAAAGTATTTTTATTGATATATACTTACTATATTGCTAATACATTTGTCACAATTTTTTCATATATTTTCTATGAAGTGAATAAAAAAAATTTAAAATTTTTCACATGGTCACTATGTCCCAAAAAATATATTAAAATCGGTCAACGTTTTCCAAAATAATGGGGCATTGCACACACTGTATATAATATTTAGCATTTATAATAATTATTTATTTTATGAGATAATATAAAAGTTACAAAATAATAGCTAGCAAGTATTTTGTTGTAAGTTTGTTATTATTTATTATAATTATCATTATAGTTATTTATGTTATTGCCTTTAGGCAAAGTTTGAAGGGCGATGCATAGCGAATGCCCACAATTGAGCGTAGCACAGAAAGCACTTTTTAGCTAAAAAGCACAGCCTTTTATCTTCAAGGCACAATTTTATTTGTTAAACGATACATAAAACCTAAAATTATAATAATAATTATTAATTAAAAGATAAAAGTGAGGTTAGGTAGATCTGACAGTTATCGAATTTTTGTATTGGTTCAACCGGGTTGTTTACAGCCTAGGTGGTAATCAATTACTTTTGCAACTTAAAATAATTTGACGAATTTCAAATACTAACTGTGTAATTAATAGGAAATTTCCGAAAGCAGGTACTTATGTAGAAAAGAATTACAGATATCACAAATGGACAAACAATAATTTTCCAAAAAATGTAACGATGTTAGACAATTTCTAATGGACATGTGGGCTAAAATCGTCACCCAAGCTACTTTACTCTGAATAACAAAAATTCAAGCGAACATATAAAACTGTTCTGGGTCTAAGTGTTTCAAACAACAACTCAAACATTTGTGTGCATTTAACTATTATCAACAAAGTTATAACTTATCTAAAAGGCTTTTGATACAATTGTAGGCACTCCTAACGGAGGATTAATTTTAATTTCAGTACCTAGGGCAGTAAAACATATCTATTTGATTTTAAGCTTGTTAGTTCACACAACATATCGATAAATATCTATATAAAAATATAAAAAACATTTATATTATAACTTTAAATATACTTTGTTTCATGTTATTTTGTTTTAAATTGGATTGGTTTAATTTTTTTTCCTTAACGAGATGTTTACTCCATTTGAATATGCCGTGCTTTTGACAATCATAGCCAACTGTGTAGTGCTGGCGCTGGAGGAGCACCTGCCCAATCACGACAAGACTGCATTAGCACAAAAACTAGTAAGTTGATTTTTTAATTCGATAATTTTAATGGTTACCAAAAAAAAGAACTTTTTTTAGATAAGCTAATTATGATATATTTGATGATAATTAAACATTTTAAAAATTTAATGTATTGTCCAATTTAATGATATACATTGTTTCCTAATAAACTAACTTAATTTAAAATATACATATCACCTTTGTTTGGTTTGAAAATTTAAAAAAAATATATGTAAATTTTCATGATAAGGTTTCTACTTGTCATCTTACGGCGACCGCCATATTATATTGATTTATGTCCATCTTTCTATTACCTATGCACAGCCACTTTAATAAATGACGTTAACTCTGCAACTCTCCTAATACTTAAGGGCGTTTAAAAGTGTTTTATATTTTTTGTGACGATTTATTTTTTTCTTCCACTTCCACCTCGTTAAAGTTTCACTTCAATAAATACATTTCACTTTAAATACGTCACTTTATAAATTGACCAATTAACATATTTTTTTAATTTTTTTATTTTAAATTATCAAAAATTATTTAAAACAAAAATGATTTTTTGTTTTGTACAAAGTTCATTATTTTTTATTTATTTTTTTTGTTACCCTCATTCTGCGTTTGATGCCACCAATCGTAAACATTTTTTTAAATTAATAATATATATAATTTATTTATGATTTATGTTTGTCTTACTTTTTTACAATTTCATTGAGAAATTGTCGTTCGGAGATGCGAGAGCGTAGTTCGGTTGATTTTATAAATTGTTACTTTTTAGTGCGAAATATATGACCTGCAACATTTAATGGGTAGCTTCATTTAAATTAAGTTCAAAATATTTATTATTCTTTATGATTTACTTTAAAATAGAATTAAAATACTAATAATCATAATAATCAGACATGAAGGCGAATAGATGTGTGAAGTCGAGCGCTCCCAAGTACCTAAACACAATAAAAGTCCTAAAGAAACATAAAAATCGCTCATATATGTATATATACAGTGTAGTTCAATGAAAATATGGTTTGAAATTAGTGCTACTAGTTTTCCTACCTGTGCAGGTGAAATCAGTGCTACTTGTTTACCTGCTCCAAAGTCTTAATAAACACATTAAATAGGGCCTCAAAAAACAATCTCTCAACAAGTGAATACAGGTATAAGGTCCATACGTTCACGGAAGTAATTAAGTGACACTATTCAGGTCAAGAAATCACCTATGTGAAGAAGAAACGAGTCTAACCAAGAGTGGAAGGGGACACCATCTGCAAAATATGATGTATAATATCTGCATGACCTAATACGCAAATTTGCAACAAAATCCTGGCAATAATCAATCATTATTACCGAACACAGCGTAAGAGTGTAAGGGTGAAAATCAAAAAATCTTTGGAAAACGACCTACAACAATTAAAAAACTAAAATGTTGCTTTTTGTCCATTAAACTTTTTAATATTCTAAAATAAAGATTTCGCAACATAATAAAGCTTATCTTTGAGATCAAGGAAAGGTAGTTTTTTGTTATGTTGATAATTGTTGTCTTCTGATCTCAATTATGTCTAGTCGGTAACAGTATAGTTTGTCGGGAATAAAGGTTCTGTAAATGGAATAATAATCAAAATATATGTTTAAAAAAATACTTATAGTAAATACCATTATAATCAAAATTGCAAATATTGGTGTTATACATCAGAAAAATGTAACAAATCTCATATCGACATCAAAATTTTACCGCTAGAACAGTTACCGATTAGACATCGTAAAAAAATACGGTAGCGTTTTTATGCAAACAAGCCTAAATATATTTTTTTAATGCATAAACAGAAAAACTTACCTGGTTTGAATGACACATAAACACTAACTCTAGCACACTAACCAACAAATGACAGGTATTACGTATCCTGGCGGATTTTAGGCGAAATTACAGTTATCGTTACCGACAGGATGCGATCAAAGCAGACAGTCTGTTACCCAAAGGCTGGAGCTTTAAAACCAAATTGTTTTTAAATAAAATGTAATTTATTTAATACTTGGTGTTAGTTTCTTTAAAGTGATTTACATTTGTCCTGTTTTTAAAAATGATTTGATTGAAAAATCTAGCGTAAAATTGTAAAACGTAATAAGGGACGCGTTACCGACGAGACAAAATAGCTCTTTGTTTTTCATTTTAATCGATGTTTTTAAATCTGGGTAAATATTTAATATAAATCTCGTATAATTAACATGCAGAAATAATACTAATAAGTTTTGAGACACTTCACTTCTTTTTCTAATTTTTAATTAGCCAAAGACGCCTACCTAAACATTTATTGATTTTTACCCGTAAACAAACCAAATCAAGTAAGAGCGTCACAAATATAATATAAGCATAAACTTAAGTCTAGCCCCATAAAATAAAAGTGTATAAAAGATACCGAAACTAAAATAAACAACAGTCTCTTAAAATAAATTAAACCAGCACTTAAATAAGAAATATCCTAAATAACTCAACTCAGACACACGAAGTGCAACTAACGACAAATAAGGTACGCACAGTGGGGTTAAATAAAGGCGGGCTAAATAGCTGCACTATGAAGTCGGTACTCGGTATGAGGGGTTGCGGGGTTGCGGGTCGCGGCCGGCAACATTTTGGTACTGAAGACAAGATTTAGTATCGCACAAGGGGGCAAACAATTCTAAAGCAGTTACCAGGAACCGGAATCCGTCTGGGTCAGAGACAGTACAAGTACACCAACAAGGATAGGTTCTAGCAGCGTACTAACCCACCTACCCCCATTCATGATTCCCAATTGAATGGGGTTATTACTAAAGCCCTGGTTGAGGAGGATTCCGGATTGCACTAAGTTTTGGGTCAGTTCAACGTCCTCCAAAAACCTCCCTCCTTGTCCCGCAATCCACTAGCCTAAATATGGCCTATGGTCCGACCCGGCGACAACATTCCAGGAATGGCCTTAACCATCGACATTGTCATCCAGAACCTCCTAGGGGAAAGCTACCAGCCGGCGTAAAAATGCGAATCCAACAAACACAGGTAATGCTGTGCAGTTGCGGAATACGTAGGAGAAAGGAAGTCCACAACCGCGTCTGTATGTATGTTCTCGCTAATCTCAAAAAATTGTATGGGGTTTTTCAATCCATTTTAACCAATAAATAATATTTTAGACGCGAGAAAATGTTGAAAAAATCCTAGGTGGTAGTAGTTTAAAGCGATAAAAAAATAGTGGGACTTCAAGTCGCGTTGAGACACAAATTTTTGATGGTTTCCTAGTAAAAAATTATGAAGATATTGCTAATACTACATAATAATAATAATGATTATTATTGCTAAACTGTATTGTGAATATTAACAAAAATGTATATGCCACTTTTACAGGTATAAGTTCATACGAGAAAAAAAACATCGATTTCTTATTGTGTTGTTATAAGATATGCGTTAATTAAGTACAACTATATAGCCCATGTATTTAATTATTGCATATCTTATAACGTGACATTAATTAATGATTTTTTTCTTGTATGCACTTATGCATGTAAATAAATACACGAATATATTATATATAAGTATAATAGATATATTCTATTCTACAGTGTACAACTTACTGCCTGTGCCCTGAAACATAAAATCCCCAGTAGCACAAAGATATTGGCCCAATATTCGTAATAATATTGGGCCAATATATCTTTCGTCAGATTTTTTCTAGCATGGTCCAATATTGAAACCCAACATTGGCCCGAAGTGGTTTGACATTATATAACCGATATTGGAAATTCGCATTTGCCCGAAGTTGTTTTACATTATTTTCTAGGAAAGTTAAGGGAGAAATAGAAAGAAAAAAATTTTCCGCCTAGTACTTACCACGTTGTAGGATTTCTAAAAAAGATATGTCACGGGGTCACTTGATATAAAATGTACCCTCCAAATTCTTTGAAAAAATCTACCAATAAGACAAGTCGTGTACCGTCTATGTTATTCTTAATTACGATGAAATTCTAAAATCGTTTGTATCGTGTGCTGCTATCTTGAGCTTTATTAAGGTAATAACTAATGTTATTGCTAATAAGACAAGAAATCGCATATTACCCTTGTTATTTTTACTGTAATATGCAAGAATGGCCTTTATTATTTTCACCCATTTAGTGTTAAACAATAAGGATGGTATTCGACTGCGCCACCCCCCAACTTAAAACCGTTCCTACGCCACTAGTATAGACATATCCTGGAAACAAACGTGTGTCGTTACATATAACTTTTGGAAATCCGAAAGCATCGTTGACTATAGTTAATGATTTATTGGCGTAAAATAATATGTTAATAAACATTGGCAAGATATATTACATTATCATTTTATAGGGCTAACATCGGCTAAATAAATCCAATATTGGCCCCAGATAAAGTATTGGTTATAGATGCGCCCCATGTAGGACCAATATTTTGTGCTATTGGGGATCACTGCCGTGATTTCCACAGGCACTCTATAAATAACTTAATACATTACATTTTCCCCCCTTAACAGAACAATAATCAACCTGTTTAATATTTCGTTTAGATCTCCTTAAAACTAAATCATCCTTAATATTAATATGAAATCCCAAAAGCCAACTTATTCTGCATAAAATTCCCCTTATTTTTTAGCCAAATCTTTCTTTTTTCTGTTTCCTTTTGTAAAAAATTTAAATTATTTAAACTTAAGTTAAATTTATAAATAAAATCTTTACCCAACAAGAGTAAGAGATTTTATTTATAAATTTAACTTAAGGTTAAATAATTTTGGGCACACCCATATCTCAGTTATTAGACATGAGACCCACATCAAATTTATATGAGTTTATAATGACATTATATAGACAAGTTCTGCGCAAGTTTAATTTAAATTGAAGTTTTAGAAAAAAAGTTAGTTTTTAAGTGTGCCCCCCAGCCTCGTGCCCCCCAAATTAAGATAATTTAAATTAAAGGGTAACAATATTTAATTCACTGAAGTTTATCATCAAATTTCAAATTTTATTAAAAAAATTCAAGTATTACA